ATAGCATACAGGTTTTACTACTAAAAAAGATATTTAATTTAACGTATAGTATAGTATATTTGATTAACTTGATCATTGTGTTCATTTAAAATGTATACACTTTGTCCCTTTTGCATCATTAAGTAAATATTATTATTATTAATTTTTGAATTAATTTGTAATAATTTATGTCATAACTCATTAGCAACTCTTATGATACGTTTTAACTGTAGTTGGCTTTCGTTTTTTTTTCACAGATCCCAGGCTATGGACAGAGGCGCAGGCTTCACATTGGTTCTGGTGGGCTTACCGCGAGTTCTCGGTACCCGAACCTCCGCCGACACCGTTACTGCGCCGCGTCGTGTGTGGCACATCTCAGTTCCAGAAATTCACCACGGCCAGTCCCAACACCACGATCATGGGCCGTAGCAGTCAGATGATCCGGGAACGCGTCCGCCGCGGCCGCCGCCGTCTCCGTAGCAGCGGTAACTGCAACGGCGGCAGCAAGTCGCCGGGCAGCAGCAACAATGACGACGACAATGACACGGACAAGGACCTGGACGACGACGACGACGAGCCCTACGACGAATTGGTATCGTCGTCAAGCAGCAACAAACCACTGTACGCTCGGAGGGGTAGACACTTGTGCAATATGGGACGCGAACGATTCGTGGCCGAGGCGCCACCGTTYTTGGGTGACATCCTCTGGGAACATCTCGAAATGATGCAAAGAGGTGAGTGAAAATCGAAATTGTTTATTTTCATAGTGTTCGATATATCTGTTTAATATAGTCTCCCCCTTCCCCCCGACAGGCTTAGGATATAATAATCGATTTATACTGCAATGGATAGCACGTTACGTTGGGTTTATCGGCTTATACGATATGTGTCGCGGCTTTTTAATAATATTATAAGCTGTTGTGACTGCTGCAGGTTGTAATGGTTGTATACATGTTATCCGAAATATTATATTATTGTATAAAGCAGTGTCGTGCGAACCAAACGACAAGAATACCTCGTGTCTGCAGTGCCGTAGTTCCGGTCATCACGTTTTAATATATACACTGAAAGTGGTTGGTCGTACACAATCATAATTTWAACATATACGTGTAACAATAATATAGGCTATTGTTTAGACGATAAAAAAACATTATTTCGAGCAATCCGAACGTGAGTTTATGAAAAAAATCATTAATTTACTATAACCAAACACATTATATTAATATTATATTTTAAAACGTTATTACATATTATTATTATACTCGCGGGCGGATGATGAAACGATATCGTGGTCGCGTGGGATCATAGTCTTGTATATAATATATGTGTGTGTGTGTGTATGTGTATCAGACCGAATATACGACACGAATGTCCAATAATATTATCTATAATATTTTGAACCCAAAAGAAGAGCGSGTGTATAATAATATTATATATGATGATTAGGAAACGATATGCGATTATCATATTATATTATTATATACATGTATATATGGTTAACACACGTGCTGGGCATGGTAAACGGACGGTTCGTAGATAAAACCACTACCGCATACCAACAGCGAGTATCATTGTATAAGGCTGATAAATAAACGATACCAATGATTGTATTATAATAATATTATATTAGATTGTACTGTAGCTAGTAGCTACTGTATAGCTGCCATCACGCTGTACGTTTAATACTAAAATGTTGTAATAATATTATATTTGAAGATAAATGTTGGTATGCAGTATACGTCGTTATTTTATGTCAAAAGAGTTATCGTTTTTGCGTTAGTAAATTATTTTGTTACAACGAAGAGCATTGATAAAATAAAAAAAGCAAAAAATTGATATAGTTTAATATTATTATACATTTGCATAAACTACCGTCACTATATTATAGGAAAAAAAATTAAATACATTTTGCGCGTCTCACGACCGTCCGACCCGTACAGTCAGTTTAGTTAAACTGACTAAACTAATAACATCGTTAGACCACTAGCTGGATAAAACAGGAACATAAAAAAAAAAAAAAAATAGCGTTTATCCGGCGGGATATGTGTGAGGCGGCGATGCAAGCTCTGCGGCCAGCCACGGCCTTGCCAGGGAACGCTAGAAGGGGGCTAGCTCAAGGCCGTTTGTTGTAATAAGCAGGATATCCTTTGACCGCTATCATCCTTTTAGCAAAACGGCTACTACACTTTACCACTGCCGTTGGTGTGACGTAGTTTAGGTAGTTGTATCGTGAGCAGGATATCCTTTGAATGTAAACAAACCTATATGGTGGCTATGTATATATTAAGTCTGTGATGGTGGTTGGTATATATAAATATGACGTAGCAGACAGGATATCCATTGAATGTAAACACTGCACTGTATTGTGGTTGTGACGTAAAAATGTGAGCCGACGATGACCTACATATTTACTAATGTATAATTTTATATTCTTAACCCTTAAACGGCTTAATCTGCTCATGACACGTTACACCAAGTATATGAAAAAAATATGTTAACATCGTAAAACCAATGTGACAATAATTTATGTACCATATAATATGTGTATCAAATTTAATCATCATCAAATATATAAAAGCTAAATTATATGTTTATGGAAATGAACAATAAATTATTTTTGATCTATATTTTCGTAGACATCGATAGAGCCTCGTCGATATCCATGTTTGGTGGTGGCAATCAACATTTGACATCGTTACACAACACTGGTGGCAATAACAATAATTCAAACTTCTATCACGAAAATTTCGTTCAACATCAACAACACAGACATCAAGTGGACGACAACAGTGGTTTATTCTCTTCCGCTTATCCTGTACCGGCTGCATCCGAACCGCAGCATATCCGGTTGCAATCGCCACCACACCGACTGAACCATCGTAATCGCAATCTCCATCACAACCAACAATATGAAACAGGTACGTTTTCGTTGCTTTTTTCGTATATAGGTATAGGTATTTATTATTATTATTATTATTATTACGAATATATACCTTATTTTATTCTTTGTCCGAATGGGAGGTTTACGTACGACTCACCAATATTATGTTTATAACTATATAAGTGTGTGTGTGTGTGTGTAAATCTTATTATTAAACATATAAACTTCGAGTGTGGACCACCATTACATATACTTCAAGGGTAGTACTACTGCACTTATACTGTCGTCGACAACGTCATCGCGTTATTTTATTTCCACAATAATAATAATAATAATATAGACAAGCAGAATTTAAAAAAAACGTATTGTTGCGTACTGTATATTATATATATTTATATTAAATATTAATTGGGCCAGTTTCGGCTTATAAACGGTATTTAACCGCGTAATACCGGGGCCCATTTAATTTTATTTCATTTTATCGAGGGGACGGCTACTTACGTCGGCCACCCGCTGTTAGCTGCGTATAGACGAGCGATCACAATATTTATTACAGCCCTTCCCGCGCCACGGGAGCCCATCATGATATACCTGGCCGAACAGAACTACAGACGAGCACTTGACGGTCATTATTATTACTACACGAACACAGTTATATCCATCGTCTTCATCATCGAGACTGCAATGTACTACTTCATTTTAGGCATTGTCGTGTACTCGTAAATACAATATAATAATATATCGCTATATTATTATGTACATATATGATGACATATATATATAATATATAAAGTAATCGAACCCACGCTATTGTATTAACCATGCATACGTTTTATAATAATAACGATTATTATAAAGTTTCTTTGCTCCTCCTGCACTATAAAAGACAAACATATTACATAATATATGTCGCGACATCGTCTAAAGCAAACTGCAGCACGTGATTATATTATATATCATGCATACAACGTGTTATACACCGAAAATGTTTTAAAATCCCATTTTGCTAATGCTTCTACTAGGTGGCATATAGGTTCCTCCTCTTATACGCATATATACCCGGTAGTTCCGGTTCTCTTAAACAACTATATACACCTTCTAAAAAGTACAGCTGCTCCAGCTGCATGCTTTTGGCGCGCGCGCAAAAGAAAATATGAATGACACACACAAAAGGGTGGCGTGTTATGGCACGCCCGTCCTTGTCGTCTTAGGTTTCAAGTTACTCGAGAATAAAAGCGGTACATGGCATAGCACGGGCTAAGAAGAACAAGACTCGCGCGTTTTATACGCCCACCGGATGTACAACAAGCAATACCACCTCCTCCTCCTCCTCTAAAAACTTGAATACAATAAATGAAGTTCCGATTATTCTTCTAGAGTAGGTACTCTATTATACTATAATAATATAAAACCAACGTCTATATATGTTTAGTAGTATAACAACACAAGAACCGTCATCAGCGTTACCAGTCTTGGTATATTATATTTGTATTATTAGATATATATATTATTTAGGTATAGCAGTTGTAATAGTAGTCTTGAATAGAAAAAAAAACAATTAAGTCGTGAAATAWTGTAAAAGTAATATTTTCTAGCATAATATGTACTATAACTATTATATATATTAAATAGCTTGAAATGCGCATGCAACTTATATTTCATAAATAAATAATAATTAATTAATTACACATTAACATGTATTGGTGCTAAAAAAGTACATATATAAATATATAATTTTTACTAAATAATAGAACGTTATCATCTCATAACAGTTTATACAAAATTCTAGAACTGCTTCTACTATTTACTACTGTTTCTTCTGAAATTTCCAGTATTAACTTTTTTTTTTATTCAGAACAYACTTATTTGTTTATAGTTGATTTTCTATGATATACTTTTCAATAAAAGGCTAAGCCAAACAGTTTTAAGGATAGAAAATATATTTATGTATTCTCATAACAGTCATAAAGTACCTACCAATTTATGATTTTTAAAACTTAAAATATTGTGTTCCACATTGAATCCTCAATACTTAAAATATCATATTGATTTTTTAATTTTTATTAATATAATATAGGTCATTGAGTTAAATTCTGATCGGTTAGTCATGGGAAATATTCAAACATATAATTCCAATTAAGTTTAATGCTTGTAAATAGCCATCTGGTAATTATTATTGCCTTCAAGACTGCACTCAATGAATACCTATATATATATTATAGTTTTAACGTTATTCTGCTCATAAAGGGTCTGTATTATAATAATGTATAGAAACGTCCTTATAATACCTTAACGTCTATATAGGTGTACCTACTCTACTAATAGACTTTGCTAAATAAGCGACTTCAACGTGTGTACATTATTATTAATGTTTAACGGATGTTATTATACATATTATATATTATAATGTATATGTATATATATTATATATATACACCTACGAATAATAAGATCATGGGGTACGATGAATTTTGTTAATTGAGCGCGCGGCGTAGTAGTATACCTAAATAATATTTTACAGAGCTGATGTATAGCGTGCATATGATATTATATAAATTTATAACACGAGTCTATACTGAAGTCGACACGTGCTTAAATAAATGTTAGATTATAGTATAATATACCACATAATATTATAGGTACTTAGATGTATTATACCCACTGACTTAATTGAAATGGATGCTACCGTGGTTATTTTTTTGTAACAATGTTAATAGTTGTCACATGTTTAACTTATGGTTAACAAAACTATAAAAACATTATATTATACGTATACAAATCTAATATACACAGACTATACTCATAATATTAAAGTTTTTCTGTTATAGTTTTCTTGAAAATGAGCGTTGCCGTCTTAATATATACCAATACGATTATTCATTATTTATTATTCGTTCGTTAATTTTTTTTTTTT